GTGGGGGAGGGGGACAGGATATGTCCCTTGGAGCTAGGACCTAGAGAGCAGGGCTGTCCAGCTGGGCTCTCAGACACTCACCTCTTCCACCAATTGGGTGCAGGTGGGGACTGTAGCTCTGTGGTTGCTAATGTGGCAGTGGTCTCTGAAGAGGCTGCGGATGGTTTGAGGGGGATGCTGCCATGTCACTGGGACTGAGGCAGGTGGGGGAGAGGTGCAGGATGTGCCTACCAGAAGCTAGGATCTAGAGGGGCTGGAGGCACTTGAGGTGGGGGTGTAGGTGTCCAGCCCGGCACTCAGAGACTCACCTCTTCCACCAATCGGGTTCAGATAGGGACTGTGGCTCTGGAGGTCGCTGATGCAGTAGGGAATGGTTGGGGGAGATGATGTTGCTCCTGAGTTTCTGAGATGAAGGTAGATGGGAGAAGGACCTGGGATGTACCCCAAGGGGGGCTAAGGCCTAGAGGTCAGGGGTGTCCAGCCATCACTGAGACCCTCACTTCTTCCACCAATCGGGTGCAGGTGGGACTGTGGCTCTGGTGGTCACTGATGCAGCAGGTGATGATCTTTGTATATTTTTAATCAAAAAATGTTTAACAAATTCCTATAAGAATCTCTGGTTTACAATAGCTGAGGAGCCTCCAACTGGATCAGGCCCTCTGGATAAGTGAGACAGTTGATTAGCTTGAACTGTGTGGGAGGCACCCAGGCAGTGGGACCGGGTCCTGTGCTCAGTACATGAGCTGGCTATTTGGAACCTGGGCCTATGCAGGGACGCTTTGCTCAGCCTGGGAGGAGGGAACTGGACCTGCCTGGACTGAAACTACCAGGTTGAGCTGAATTCCCAGGGGAGTCCTTGCCCTGGAGGAGATGGGAATGGGGGGTGGGCTGGGGGAAGGGCAGGCAGTGGGTGGGAGGAGGGAGGACAGGGGAATTCGTGGCTGATATGTAAAATTAAATCAAATTATAAAATAAAAAAGAATCCCTGGTTTAGAAAGGTGTCCTATAAAGTCATTGCTGTTGTACCTGAGAAACCCCCAGAGACCACCACAGAGCTGGTTTTCTGATGCTAGCACATAAGGGTCCTTTTATTGTCAGGTTCAACCTGGGCCAACACATGGCAGATGGAAGGAAATGTGGCAGTGGCCATGAGCCCAGGTGTGAAAGTTTTTATAGGGAAAACCACAAGTTGGGAATTACATGCTTGGGAGTGGGTAGAAAGGATTTGGGGCAAGGTGATTTTTGAAACTATTGGTGTAGACTTTCGGCATGAGGCCACATTTGAAACTATTGGATTCCACTTTTGGTGGGAAACCACAACCCGCTCAACAGGATTATCTGGATTGCTCAGCAGGATTATCTAGATATCTTCAAGGGCCATAAACCAAAGACAGAATGTCTGCAGGAACATACTGCTCTGTTTGAGTTCTCATGGCACACTCCTGAGGTCCTTTCTGGAACTGAATACAGCAGGTGGTATAAGATGGTGGCCCTACCCTAAGATGGAGTCTGTATTGCCTTCACAATTGTCACTATGCCTGAAAGCTAAGTCAAATTCATCAGCTCTGGAAGCTTGGATGTGAAGGACAAATAAGGTGGGGTGATCCTGGAGGATAATTCAGCGAAAGTCTTTTACTTTTGAATGAGAAAGCCTTGAACATCCCAAGTAAGGATTGGGAAGTCATGGAAAGGCAAAATGTGGTTCAGGCTGGTGGGAATTACAACCAGTAAAACAAGGGCCCAGTTGAGGCTGGAGTTGCCAAAACTTTTCTAGAAGAATTGCATTATTTGGTAGAAGGTTAACAGTGACTATCCACTGACCAATACCCCCCCCCCCCAATTCACTCTGTAAAAGAGTCTCCCAAGGTAACAAAACATTAAGATCATTTCAGAAAAGAAGAGGAATTGAGAACTCTGTGGCTTTGTATGTATACCTGGTTCCAGGAAATATGAGAGTAAGTTCTCTGGAGATGACCTAACAGCCTACTTTTCCACTTGTGGGCTACACTAGTCATAGGACTGTGGATAAAAGTACATCTTCTCAACCAGCTTCCTTTGTGTGGGTCAGAGGAGCCACAAGAGGAGCTATTTTTGTAGCTGGGAAAAAGGCTCAGGACTGTCTTCCTGGAATTTGCTTCTCATTTCAGAATCAAAAATAGCTTTGAAATGCTGTGCTGTTTGGGAATTGGGACCTATTCATTCTAAGAGCATCTATCAGTACCTGTTGAAATTCAGATAAAGTCCAAGTAAAGCTTATATTATACTCATTGATTTCAAGTCTAAAAAACACTCACAAAACCTGTACCACAGTTAGTCATAGCCCAAGATAGCAAATGGAATTCCTTGGGTTTCTGCTGTCCATGGTTAATTTGAACATGAGCCACAACATTGAATTTCTTTAAAAGTGTTCCCTCCTACTTACCTGAACTTTTCAACTGAGATTAATTTTCATATTCAAAAGTTTAAGTATAAATTCCACCAAACAGTTCTGCATCTTGGTTTTGACTATTCCACAGCTTTCTTAGTTGCAGTGAAGCCATTAAACTGTTAAAGTCATAAAGCCAGGATTGGGTACGTCATTCCAATTCTAGTGATATCCTTGACTCAGGTGCTGTAAGGAATGAAACTTCACCTATTGTTTACATGGGACTCCATAAAGAACCTAAGATGTCCTCAAGAACATGAATCAGGGATTCACCTCTTCACACTAAGGAGGAAGAGGAAGTAACATATGGCACTGACATCTGGAACTGAGCTCCACATGTAGCATCAGGAGCCCCCAGAGGGCTCTGGTGTGGTAAAAGAGCACTAGAAAGCTGCTTACCTTTGGATACCATGGTCCTCATTTCTTTTGTTTTTCTTCTTGTTCTCCTTTATATGTTGAAAAATACAATAAAATCTAAATATATTAAATACAGTAAAAATATGTAAAGTTCTACTATAATTTGTCTGAAAAATATAAATAGTGAATTTCATTTTTGTTGTTTCCTATGTGCCTAATATACACAGTGAGTGGTAGTTTGAACTTCCAGACCAAAGCTGGAATGGCTACGCACTACAGTGGGGAATGGCTTCCCTATGCCTCTTCCTTTGTGTCATTAGGTAATTTCTAAGGAAGTATTTTCCCTAATATGACTACAGATCATGTACTAAATTTATTTCAATATGTAACATACTGCTCTCCCAAGAGTTTCATATATGCCTAGGCAAGCATTCTACCTCTGAGCCCTCCTTGGTCCTGCCTTATTTATTAATTACTGAAAAATTAGTATGCTTTATATCAGAATTTTCAGAGGACTAGACCAACATTAACTCATTGCCTTTTTATTAATATGAAGTTGTATTATTAAACAAATAGTAAAAACCTGGTGAACGCCGGGCGGTGGTGGCGCACGCCTTTAGTCCCAGCACTCGGGAGGCAGAGCCAGGTGGATCTCTGTGAGTTCAAGGCCAGCCTGGGCTACAAAGCGAGTCCCAGGAAAGGCGCAAAGCTACACAGAGAAACCCTGTCTCGAAAAACCAAAAAAAAAACCTGGTGAAAATGGATTTTCTATTATTAATGTGATATACCTCAATTTGTTCATTGTGTTTTAGATATTCCAATAAAACTGCAATCTTACTTACATATGGCACATAAATTTTTAAAACAATATTTTATAAATGCCATATGTAGATATTTAATATTATCTCCCTATTTAGATTGATTTTTTAAAATTTCATGTGTATGAATGTTTTTCCTACATGTACATATATGTACCAGATACATGCCTGATGTATGCAGAGGTCAGAAGAGAGTGGTAGATCCCCTGGAACAGGAGTTGTAGAGGATTCTGAACCATGTGGGTGCTGTGAAACAAACCTGAGTCCTTTGTAAGAGCAACAAGTGTTCTTCACCACTGAGCCATCTCTCCAGCCCCTCCCTAGTTTTCTAATTTAAAAAGAATTTGTTCTTAGCCTTTTATTGTATTACTTAGCTGGTGGTTAATTATGATAAAGATCCTAATTATGTTAAATTCACTATAAATGCAATCACTTTCACAAATTCCTAGTAAGCTAGTAAATGTAATAGATGACAAAGGATTTATGGTCATAGAAGACTTCAGATAATCATGTTTTATCTATTTATTGCCTCTTTCCATTGGCAAAGAGTGAATACCTGATGAATGAATGTGTTCCTTGTGTGTTCTGGAAAGAGAGTCAGAAAGGGCTGCATCTCCCTGTCAGTTCCTCATCTGAGGAGGTTACCTGTGAAGCACCTTTTCTTAGCCTGTGGATCAGGTGCCACACTTGGCACTCCATGTAAGCCATCAGGATCAGGACCTAGAGCAAGCCTAGAAGTACATAGATACGCCCCATTTTTGTTACGCTTTTACAGAGTGGAGGTTTGTGACAACCTTGCCTCAAATAAGACTGATACCTTTTCTCCAATGATGTGTATTGTGTGTAGTGTGTTTGTGTCTTGGTGTGACATTTGGAATTTGTTTTACATTTATATCTATTTTGTGTGTGTGTGTGTGTGTGTGTGTGTGTGTGTGTGTGTGTGCACATATGTGTACATGCCACAGTGTATATGTGGAGGTCAGAGGACAACTTATAAGAGTGGGTTCTCTCTTACAACCATGTGTATCTTGAGGATTGAGCCTCAGTCATCAGGGTTGGTGGTGGCAAGTGTCCTCATCTGCTGAAACACCTCAACAGCCCCAGTGAAACATTTTGGTAATTCTCAAAATGCTTCAGTTTTTGAAATTATTGTTATATCTGAAATTTTTATTGTATCTGTCGTAATGATGTATGATAAATGATTTGTGGTATTGCTATTGTATTGAAATAATTAAATATCACAGTTGAGGAGACAGAAATGAACAGGGGTAGCCTGTAATAGGTCTTTTATAACCCAATAATAGGTTTCTCCACCAATGCAGTAAGCCAGATCAAGCAAAATTGAACAAGTAAAAGCACAGGTATATTTGAGCAAAGCAACTCCCAGGTGAGCCCTCCAGTGCCAGAGATTGGGGCTGGAGAAGTCACATGGCCAAACTAAAGCAGGGAGCTTATATACCCTGTAGGCAAGGGGTGATGAACCTTCCATCTTTTGTCCATGTGACCCCTTTATTCAGGAGTTTGTTCCTCTCCTCTGGTTGGTAACAAGGCTGACAGGAAGGTGTCAAAAACAAAATATGTCCTATAGATCCAGAGGAGCTGGAGGCCAGTCCCCAGGCTACTGAGTCAGCCCCGGCATTGCCTAAGGCCACTGGGACCCTGGAGGACTGATATCCCCAGCAGTGGATTATGGTTACCACTGCAGGGAAATGGAGGGCCTCCAAGAGCTTGGCTATAAGGAGTCCATTGACAATGGGAATGCTCTTGGTAATGAGAAAGCCCCTTTCCTCAAAAAGCCAGAATGGGTATGGGCTATTTTAAAAGGCATATTTAAAGTCAGTGTAGATGTTAGCCTGCCTGTTGACCCTTAGATATTTGGAGTGCTCTAGTCAAGGCAATTAATTCAGCATTTTGTGAAGAGATCCCCAATGGCAGGCAGGTTGGTTCAATGGAAGTGATCACTGCACAAGCCTCCTGGCGGTTTCCTGATCTGTCTATAAGAGAGCTTCCATCAACAAAGAGGATGAGTTTGGGGTCTGTGAGGGGTTGGTGTAGGAGACCAGGCTGGGGTCAGCATAAATCTCTCTCCCACAGCTTCTGGGCAGGAGTGGGAGGAGGTATCAGATGAGGAAGGGGCCGAGAGGATGGTTGCAGGGTCCTGTGAGGCAATTAAAGAAAAAAGAAGATAGACGTCAGAAGACAGTGTAGGGCCAAGGTGAGGGTGGCCCCAAAGCAACTGAGGGTATCACAGCCAGCGAAGGTACCAGACAAACGGGTACCCTTTCTATGACTAGAAAAGAGTGTGGAAAAATAGCCCTGCAAAAATTCAGGGAAGAGGCAGGGTCTCAGGCTGAAAGGAGGGGGTCCCATCCACTCCCATGACAGAAATTGGCAAGGGAACTCTGGGACCCGAGTGAGAGGTCAAGATTAAAAAGGTAGCTCCCATGTCCACCAGGAAGGTGATGGATTTATCCGCTACCTGGAGTGTCACCCTCGGCTCTGCGAGGGTGATGGGAGTCTCAGCGTCTGGGTACTGTCAGTCCTCCACCAGGCTGGAGAGCTTGAAGGCTGGAAGAGTCTCAGATGCCTGTGTTGGTGGAGCTGGACCTCCATGGCGTGGCATAGAGGATGAGCCCGCATAAGCACATTCCAACTTCAGTGACCAGGCTGCCAACAGACAGGGCATGGCCTTGTTGGCAGCTAAGGGTTGGGGCAGCATTGGGACCAGCGGCCTTACTAGCCCCATTTGGAGCAAGCCCCTGGCGAAGTTGATTTTGGCTGGGTCCCAGTGGGATGGAGCCTTGTGGACTTCCCTTGCTCCCTCTTCAGGGGTTCCGATGGCCTCTTGTCAGCTGCCAAGGCATGAGCATGGAGCGTAGCCTTCTGTTGCATCTGAGCGTGCCAGGAAGACTCAGCTGCCTCTTCTCCAGTGTTAAAAACCTTAAAAGCCATTTTCACCAATTCCTGTACAGAGGCTTAGGGAATGTCCTCAGCCTTCTTAGGTTTTTTCCAATATCTAGCAATGGCTGTGAAATGAAATGGGTAGCCAGGACCATGGCTCCTGCTGGGGAGGCTGGATCAATGCCAGTAGAGTATGGGGTAGGATTCCAGCATGGTGGTGTGAAAGAGCAGACAGAAACAAACCGGGAGATAGAATCTGTTGCAGGTGGAGCGGGCTGGTAGAATCCCAGCATAGTTCAGACCAAATGGCAGGAAAGCCTAGTGAATAAAAAAAGGCAAAGTGAGTACCTTTTGGCATGCCCTTCCAAGGGATCCACTATGAACAACAGAGTTAATGCAAGAGGTCTATTGGGGAATGGGGAGAGTAAAGGCCACCTTGGAGTAGAGACATCAGAGAGGCAGGTAGACAGACAAAGAGAGCAGGGAAGAGACAAAAGGAAGAAGTGAGGTGTGGGGGAGCCAGTGACTCAGGCAGCCTAGTCAGGTAGCAGGGCTAAGCGGCAATTTCTGGGTGGCCCCTGGAGCCACAACTTTGACCAACAAAACCTGGGCCACTGAACACTGGCTACAGAGGGAGGGGCAAGAGTGCAGAGCTCACAAACCCTGGATAAGGGAGCCCAGCCATTTGTTATATGGTGTGAGACGGCCCCAATTTGGGTAAATTTTGGAGCAGACATCCCTTGGGTGACTGAGGATTGGGTTTAGACCCATGGTTGCCCATCTCCAAGCCTGTGCCAGAGATATAAGACATTCCCCCAGGATAGCTTGGGGTGGAGTAGTGGGGGTAGAGGTAGCCTTTGGGAAGGATGTCTCTCCTCCGCAAAGGTCCCCAGGAGCAATGACCCATCTGCTCCTGAAATGGTTGGACTTGCCCTGGCATGGCAGTGGCTTGGCAGGGGACCCCGGGGGTCTTTGACCCGGGAAAGGTACCCAGTACTTCTTTTAGGTGGTGTCTGGGAAATGGGTGACTTACTCTAAGTCAAAAGTTGATCATGTCTGGTGGAGAGGAAGACGAAGGGAGAGGAGTGCCCCCCACACACACACACCCCACGTGGCTGGCGAACCTAGTCCACCCGGCAGGAAGGCTCAACTTCTCCCAGGTTATTGACACCAAGATAACAGGTTTTCTGTAGCATGATAACAGGTTTCTCTACCAACGCAGGTAAGCCAGATCAAGCAAAATTGAAAAAATAAAAGAACAAGTATATTTGAGCAAAGCAACTCCTGGGTTAGCCCTCCAGCCCCAGAGATCAGGGCCCAAGAAGTCACATGGGCAAAATAAAGCAGGGAATTTATATATCCTGTAGGCAAGGGGTGATGATGTCTCCTCCACAAGCTGAATTTGTGCCCAAGTATGGTTAAAAGCTGAACACTTTAGGCCGGGTCTTAGGCGGCTGGCAACTTCAGGGGAGGGGCTGCCAAAAGCCCCTAAAAATGCAGAACTGGGCTTTTGGCACCTTTTCTTTGTTGGAGATTTTATGAGAGGGCAGGGTTTGGAGAGAGAGAGAGAAATGGGGCTTTCCAATCAAGCAGGAGTATGAGCTGGAGGTATCCAGCGGATCAGCCTATCCATGATAGGCCTGATGAAGCAATAAGAAATAGAATACTATAATATCTCTCTGTGTTGGCCTGTGTATGGAAGTCTGTGGCCTGGTAGACTTCTTATTTCCTGGAAACTGGATTGACCTTGAATTTTCCAGTCTGTTAGGAGCTAGGAAATGATCTAGGAGCTGGACCAGCTCTCCCAAATTCTTATTTTATGCTCACCTGTCACTTCCTTTCTTGATCTCAGTAAATTAAGAGAAGACAGTCCTGAGGGCAGACTGCATTCTCCCTGTCCTTGCCTTCAAACAGTATCAGCCCTTTAAGATCTCAGCAATTTGTCCAAAATTATCTAAAAGTTAAATAATGAAGAAATGAGTTGCTCTGAATACCCAATGATGTCTGCACTCTGGTTTTCATGTCTGTGACATGGTTTACCTGGGTTACTTCATCTTTCCTAGTTTGCATATAAAGAGTTAAATAAAATAATTCAATTTCCACAGACTGGTCCTATTGCTAAATGTATATTCTAATCATCTTAAAGATTGCAAATTGCTTTACAACAACCATACTTCCCTTATCTTGAGTTGTTCCTATTGCCATTTCCTGTGATCCTACAATGTTATTCTGTTATGTTAAAAAAAAAAATCCAAAAGGAACGTACACAGTCCCTAGGAGACAATTTATCTCACCCATCATTTGTTGATATTTCTAAATCTCTATGCCTGAACACTCCTCTGCTTCATCCCTAGCCAATGGAAACAAGGAAGGAAGACCTGTATCACCAGTAGTTACATCTGTTATTTTAGGAATTAAAAACAAGAATTTGCAACATGCAAAAGTGTTTGGTTTTGTCTCTTGAGCTTTATAAAGATCAGCATCATACTAAGACCATAAAAATTATTGTTCTCTAAACTAAAAGAAAACTCCAGAGGATTTAAATGTTTCTTGTTGAAAAATGACTTAACCTTAGGATATCAATTTTTTTTTTCTACTGAGTTCCTGAATAAAAGGATGGATAGTGGGTAGAGCAATAAAGACTCAAGGTATAAGCCACTGTATATGTGGGAAAATAAAACATTACATAGGCCAGGAGCAGCATCTAAGAGACACAAAAGAGGAGGCACAGGTCTGTGCTTCCACAGGGATGGAGCTTTCAGTATCATGGATCAAACTGAAACATTCAGAGCAACTGGCAATGGGAAAAAAAATTGGCTTTGTTAGGGAGAGTGCCCCTGCCCAGGAGTCAGGAGACACCCAGACACCAAATTCTTAGCACAAAGGAAATTTATTACCCCTAGCAGCAAGCAGGGTGTGGGCCGCAAAGGCAGATAGCAAACAGTAACAACAAGCAGGTGTTTTGGCAGGAATGGGTTTTTAAGGAGAAAAGGGAGAGTCTGTGCTAGGGTGAGCTAGTAAATCCTGATTGGGCATGTTAGACAAATAATGAATTTTGATTGTTGGACCTTGGTGTTTGTCTTAGGAATGAGTCAGTGGCCAAATAAGGGATGGATCTTGGGAGCTAGCTTTAGGAATATGATCTAATGGTTTTTTAGCAAGGGAGAAGAAAGGGGAGAAAAGGCAAAATGGCAAAACCTGTCCATGCCATGTTTGCCATGCTTGGGGCCTGTTAGAGAACCCTTCAGGCTTTGCTTGCAAATATTTGTTCACTACATTCTAATGGGTTAAACATTCTTGTCTAAGAATAGGAAAAGGAAAACATATTAATTAAATCTGAATAATAATGTATTTATAATGTGTACCAGTTTTATATTTTCAATGTTAGTTTATGATGTCAAAGAAATTACAGGGCTTGGCTATTTAAAAACAATAATAATACCATGGCAACCCGAACTGATGGTTCAGGTCCAGAATTCTCTAAACCATATTAAAAGTTCCTAATATTAATTTAAAGCTCTCTGTAAGATAGGACGTGAAAAAGAAAAGAGAACCACCTGACCTAAATAATGTTGATTTTACTAAGTGCTCTAATCAAATGTGCTTTTGACCTTGATTTGAAATGATCCAGCTCTACTGGATGACTGTAATGTGACTACTCTTCCTGTATTTACTCAAGTTAGACTTTTTGTCAATCCCTACATTGCAGGCCTAGTGATGCATACTTGTAACTCCAGTGCTCAAGAGGAGCTCAAGTAGGAGAATCAGAAATTTAAGTTGTCCTCATCTTCATAGTAAGTTTGAGGCCATCCTTGGTTAAATGAGAACTTGTCTCAAAAACAGACCAAACAACAAACAAAAGAACCAGACTACTGTTAACTGTAATGCAAACACATTTTCCCCAGAGCAGTAGAAATTGACATGGATAAGCCTCAACAGCTGTTAACTTTGAAAAGGTAACAGTGGGACTGTTTCTAGGTTCCAGTATTAGGTCAATAATTTTGTTAATTTTCCCTAAAATTGTGGAATAGTTTTAGAGTGGCAAATTCTGTACTTTATTTCAGCACACTTAGGGCTCTGCTGCCAGGAAGTCTGGTAGCTGCCAAAGCATGGGTGGGTTTGGGAATGAACATTCTCCTTCCTAAGGAACACTAAGCACAGAGGTGATAGAAGCCAACACACTAATTAATTAACACTTAGCCAATAAAATGTAACATTAAGCATATCCTTAGCTTGACATATTATAGAAGTCCATAAAACAATTGCCATATTGCATATAAATGTATATATACGTCTTATATTTACATTTATACAGCATACATCTTTTCTGTAAGAAAAAGATGAAACTGAAATTTCAATGACTTATAAGTCCTTCTTTTTCATCCTTGTGTGGATAAATTCCTTTAAAGAGGTTACAAACATAAATGTCCCAGATATACTCCTTGTCTTCAAATGTCTCATTTATCCTCTACAGGAACCCTAAGTTTTCATCCCCAAATACAAGTTTGCCAATGTAACTTACTGCAGTGAAGATGAGCACCTGGGTAGAGGTTCCTCAGGGCTCACATATGTCATTGTGTTTGTCTTGCCGAACTGTAATCACTTGTCACTCCCAACAGAGTTCACTGGGGACAGGCAGCCTTCCTGTTTGTCTTTGTATGCCTAGCACACTAGCACAGAGTACGGAATAGACATTTAATAACTGTTATTAAGTAGTTTGCATTTGACTTATCATCTTCTGTGATTGTTTTAAGATAAATTTTAACTGCAATGAAGATGATATACAAATTGTGATTTATAGTTTTCCCTTCATTTCTGAGACTCCAGTCCAATCCACTGAGATCCAGCAATAAAAGATGTCCAGAACCAAACACTGTTAGGAAAGATATAAATCTCAAATTTTTTCATAGCATCTGCTGCAGTTGCCCCAAGTCTCAGAAGCAAGTTTAATTTGTATTTCTAGCAAGCAGATAAAAGTCTGATGTAAGTAAGAGGTAATAAGGATAGAAAAGAAGAGGGAAATGAAAAAAAATTCAAATCAAAGTTGATTGGCTATGCAAGATGGCTAACAGCCTATAACCACCAAGATTCTGTCAGGCTCCAGAATGCAGGAGAACACATGGATAAGGGGTGTGAGTGGGCAGAGGCATGGAGCCAGGTAGAGGTATAAGAGCTGAAAAATCAAGTGCACACGCTGTATCTGAAACTTTCATGCTAAATCATTCAGAGAGTAAAGATGGAGACGGAATTAAGCCTAAGACCACCAAAGGGTCTCAGCAGAATAAGAATTCCCACTAAGAAGGATCACCAGGTGCCAG